ACTGGGACTGTATCTCCTATTGTAACAGGACTGTTCTACTGCACTGGGACTGTAGCTCCTACTGTGAGAAAACTAATCCCTTGTTGTAACATTACAGTTGATTGAAATCTAGACAGTTATCGCCAGACAGCAGTTCTACATACTGCCCGGAAAACTGCATTACTGGCCCACTTCCCTGCACAGCCACAGGTATCCGCGCGGAGAACGGTACGGGACCTACCGCCTCTCAATCCTCCGGCCACAGGGCTATACTTTATAATCGGATTGGGGACGAAAAGAGACCAACAGATCAGGATATAAATCTCAGCCTGACCCGGTTTAACCGCCATAATCCCATGGTCCCTCTAACCCACGCGATCGTCATTATCATCGCTCGTCTGGACAGCGGGCAAGCCGCTGCCTTCCCCACCACACTAAACAATCACCTACACCGCCCCTCACCCCTGAAGCAGCCCATTCCTGCAACACCTCTTAAACATGGTTTCTGTCCCCAACCAGAGGAGATCTGTAGCCCTCCAATCCCACCAGTTTCCTACAGCCAGGATGGGTATCCGCACCGCCGGTGTGGAAATCACGACAGCCCCAGGCTTCTGCGCGGATCTAGGCCGCAGCGGCCTCGTTTCGGGTTTCCGCCGCAAGCGCCTATCGGCTGAAACCCGGCTGCCTTCTGTGCGGAGACACACGCCTGGAAAGGGTACTCGAGCTTACAAAATACAACACTTGGGCGAATAATGAGGCGCAACTTTTAAATTTTCCCAGGTCGGAGACCCGCCGTTCCCTTTTCACGCGAAATCCCTCTGCGTGCTTCCAGACACGGGTTACAAATCGGCAAAAACAACGCCAGAACTCTCACCTGGAGATCTCGCCGAGTAGTGTAGTATGTAAATCTGGATCGTCACGGCGCGGCCCTAAATAATTACTGATTAGTTTAGCTTTATTAACAGTATTCAATTACTGCTATCGCGGCCGTGATGCAAAACCCCTCTGCCTTCTTCTGCTATTGCTGCTGCGGCTCGCTCTCGCGCTGGAGGGAGTGGGAAGCAAAGCAGCGCGCGCTCGACCCCAATAATTCTGCCTGAGCCCCTCCGGCTTCCGTCCACCGCTCTTTCCGGTCTCCCAGCCAATCGTGGAGTGCAGATTTCGTCACGTGCCCGGAAAGGCGGCATTTAGCCGTCTGCGGCAGCTGCGGCGGTTTCCCTCAATGGTGGCCGGGTTAGGGTCGGAGAAATGAAACTGCCTTCTCTCTCCAAAGCCCTTGTGTGAATCTAGCCGCCATGTTGGCTCCGAAGTTCTTCACGCTTTTGTAGTGATTAAGATGTCTTCGGTTTGAAAATGGGAGTCTTTCATCTCACCTTTTATTTTTCTCCTGCCGCAGGGTATCCGGCGTCAGCCGCCGTCAGGCTGATGTATAAAAAGTGAAATATACATGGCGGGCGATCACAACTTTGTGTACTGCCTAAGGTGCTACGGCAGCAGTGCAACACGTGTCACAGACCCGCGATATGTTTCCACGCGTGAGACAGGCTGCTGGAGCTCAAGTTCCCTTACAAGCACGTCTAAACGCCCCGTGCTGAGTACGAGCTGCATTCTGGCAGTGCAGATGTTTAAGCAACTGTTTTTATTTAACCTAAAACACAGAAAACGTAAAAAAAAAAATCACACCAGAAAAACGAGAAAATCTCTATCCACAATCTTTCTTTATATACAAACCGGCACTGAGAATGGTATAATCTAGAGGGAAAGCGCATGTGCAACTTTGTTGCTCTCTGTTCCTCCCGCCACATAACTTCACATCCCCAGAGGTGTACGGACAGGCCCCAAGCACAGCCAGTTCACAGACATTTACATCCTCCACGGAACAGGCTCTGTGTCCCCTCAGGCCCAGGGGAATAACTGCCTCAGCACGCCTGGTCCCCCGGGGAGAGAGCCCCCTGCTGGCCGTCCGGTGCAGAAACACCTTTAACCAGCGGGAGCTCTGAGCTCAGAGCTCTGACCCGGAGCCGGAGTACAGCAGGTCAGCCAGACTGATGGTTCTGGTCATTCACGCCGATCCCGAGACTCCGAGACCCAGAGGAGACGCCCAGAGCAGATCCCATCCCTTCGATCCGCCCTCCCAGTATCCCATCCGGGCTGCTTCCCATGGGATCAATATCAGTCAGTCAGTTTCCACAGGGTAGCTGGGCAGCTCTTTCCAACACGCCCTCGTGAACAGAGACAGAGTCCCAAGGGGCAATTTGTATGAGAGCCTCCTGCGTACTGCCCCACACACGTCAAGTGGAGAGCCTTCTGCATACTGCCCCCTACAGGTCGAGCGGAGAAGGCATGAAGTGCTTCTCGTAATCGGAGAAGAAGGGCTGGGTATCAGTGGGGGAGCAGGGCAGACCTGATATCACTTCTTCGTTGATCATTTCACTGTACCCCCCCTCCCTGCCCTGCTCCTTCTCCCCCTTCTCTCTCCAGATCTCGGCCCCCTGTCCCCCTCCCTCCTCTGCGCTCTCCGTGCTGGCGATGGTCTCTCCGGGATCAGGAGCGAGAGGAATTTCCACAACCTCCAGCTGGCAGAGCATGGAGTCCAGCAGAAAGACTGCAGGGCACACGGCCTCCTTGGTCTCCTGTACCGGAGACAGACAGGGAGACAGTGAGACACACAGACCCAGACACACACGTGGACAGACGGACGGACAGAGACCCCAGGGAGACACATGGACAGACAGGCAGGGAGACGGTGGGGCACACAGACCCAGACAGACATGTGGACAGGGAGACAGTGGGACACACAGACCCCAGACAGACACGCGGACAGTGAGACAGACCTGCAGCTGTGGCATCTTGAGGATCAGGTACAGGCGGCTGTTCTGCGGGTCAGGTACCTTCTCACAGCACCACGACGGCACCAACTGGTTTCTGCAGGAGCACCTGTAGTCACACGAACAAGAACTGTCACTGACAGTGTGATACAGCACAGCCACAGAGAGATACAGCACAGTCACAGACCAGTACAGTGACAGAGAGATACAGCACAG